TGCCAGGCTTCCAGGAATTCCCTAATATTTTTGGTTTTAGCTTGGTCTAGGATGCTCACAGTTTCCTGAAGTTGAAACTATGGTTGAGTCTGTCCATGAGTTGTGAGATCAAGGAGTTTTCGTCGTGTCTTCTGACTGCTAGCTGGTGTTCATGGAAGCTCTTGTGTGTGATTCTATCCAACATGGAACGCTAACACATTAAAAATGGGTAGAATCACAGGAGATATTGGGTGATAAAGCTGAGAACTTGCAATATTTGGTTATCTGATGAGATAAGGGGGTCTTCTAGAGCAGGGTTTCCCAAACTGTGAGGTGTACCCCCTTGGGGAGGTGAGACAGTGTCCAGGGGAGGTGCAAAGTATCTTTTAGTTGTACACTGTTACAATAAATCCACCTCTCCCAAAATACTAGTTTCAAATCATGTATTCATTCTGGTGTTTGGATTTTTAGGGGAAGTGTGTGCATTAAGATTACACTAAAGGGAGGCGTGATGGCAAAAAGTTTAGGAACCCCTGGTCTAGAGAGCTCTCAGGCATTATGGTGCCCTAAGCATCTTAAGCTAAGCTGGACATCAGAGAAACTGACTTCCAAGTCAGGCAAAAGGTGGGCTATTCTGCTAGCCACAATGTTGTTTTTGGAGAGAACAAACACTAATGAAACTCTTTATCATCAAGAGCTTCCATGAGAAGCAACCAATGAGTTCTGGATTCAGATTTTCAGTAAAAAGATGCTTTTCTTTTTCTTTTTTGTCTTCTTCCCTTCCCTTCTGACACCTCCTAGGATAAGGGGAAGAAGAATGGAATGGAAGGACCCTTGCTATGCTCAGGAACCTTTCTCCAGCACTTGCACACTGTAGAACAGCCTTCTCCAATCTGGGCACTCTCCAAATTGCAGACTTCAATTCCCAGAATTCTCAGTAATAGCCATGCTGGGTGGGGAATTCTGGGAGTTGAAGTCCATGCATCTTAAAGTTGCCAAGGTTGAGAAACACTGGTTTAGGGGATTCCTGGAATAAGCAGGAGTTTGGATTAGGTGACCTCAAAAAATTCCATCCAACTCATATTCTGTGATACTAAGACACAAGTAGATGTTTATAAGATCCCCATTCAGGCAATTTCAATTCAAGCTCAACCTAAGAAAACTACCTAGATGCAACACATTATGATCTGGCTGATGCTCAGGAGGAAGCCCTAATGAAGCTTAGCTCATCTCTGTAATAAATACCCAACCCATCTGGGCAAAGTAATCCATTAAGAGATCTCAGATTACAGTAATTCCAGCCCGTACTTACTCCATACTCTGGTTTAAAGAAACCCTGGCTCTCCCACCAGGAGTACCAAGCTGCTTCGACATACTGTGGGCTGTAAGAGTCAGGCATTGGACCCGTCACATCTGGAAGGCAAAAAGGTTCTGAGTGCAAGACAGGTTGAACATGTGCTCCCACCACTCAGCATGAGCCACCATAGGGTATAATCCAAAACATCTGGAGAACACCAGGGGCAGAAGAAGGGAAAGGCAAAGGATCTCATGGAGTTAGGATAGCAGAGGTCTTTGGCAGACACCCTGAAGAATGCAAGCATCAGCACCCTTTTGGTCCAATGTCCATGGTTGCAAAACATTTTGAATCTGAAATGTTTGAAGCCAGCTATCCTGACCTTATATGAAGTGTTCTGACCATTCTGGAAGTGGTCCAACCTCAAAACGCCCCTGATTTGAACATGAAACAAATATTTTGAACGTATGCTTTGAGCCTGGAACACTTCTGGAAGAACTGGAACAGCACTGGAATACTTAGGGTAAGGATGGATCAGCTGTTCCAAGCACAAAACAGGGCATTTAAATTTTGTGCACCTCTACAGCAAGCCATCCACCCCAGAAGTATTTCTAATGAAGGGCAGCAGACCAATTTGTGCAAGAACAGAAGAAATAGTAGCGCAAACATAGATTTAAATATCAGTGTTTTTCCCCCATATCTCACTTTTTTTACACTGTTTCCCTCCATATAGGTCTCTTTGCAGTTCCAAACTCTAAACAAGCGTTCTGCAACACAACGTTGCCGTGTGGAATGCTTCTCCTCACTGTTCTAGCCAGCCTGCCCGATACTCTTCTAAGGTATTTTATGTCACTTTCACCTTCTCTTTTTCCTTTGGTTGAATCCAACAGTCAGTTGACCTTCCATGCTGAATAGAACAGCCCGACCTTTTCTCTAAAGAATTTCTGTGCGTCTGAATACCTTAAGGTTTTGCCAGACGTAGCAACGGAGGGCACCATCCTGACTACAACGCAATTAGCTTTTGGAAGATGAAGGTCACATTGTTACCAAGTGGAATTTGGTCCTCTCTAAATGTATTGAGACTACAGTTCCAAGGCAGGTCATTGGATTGGTTAAGAGATGTTCCCCCAAACAGGGAAGGGCAAGGTCTCCAACCCTTTACCCGCACTAACCTACCTTTCTTTTCCCCGGGTTTGGTGGGGATGTCATAGGTGATGATACCGAGATCCTTCTTTTCCTTCTTCTCAGATTTCGGCTTCTTCTACAAAGAATCAAGAATCAGGATGCTTTATTGACTCCGACTACTATGATCATCCTCCCCGCACTCCGTTTTCAAGACCCTTAAACTCAGTCTGCTGTGCTAAACTTCATATATCACCACAACCACTTTCTTTTTATTACTGAAAAACAAACTGACTCCCTCCAAAAAATCTACTTATAATAATTACATCAGATTAAAGCGCAACCATCCAAAACTTGAAGACAAAAGAAAATTGGGTCCAGAAAACAACAGATGGAAAAAGAACTTCATCAGTTAAACCGTAATTTCTCTATCAGATAATGTCTCCGTCAGAGTTTGGCCCATGAGAATGAGAACCGATTGCAAAATAAATAGATAGGTGGGCAGGCAGGATGGATGGAAGTAAAACAATATTCTGGTTTGTTTTTTTTCCTAGACACTGGCCACATTATCTTAAGAAAATTATTTATCTGATACGGTATCTACCTCCCATTCTTAAAAATCATTTGGGAAAATGATTCTCCAAATTCCCTAAGTTATTAGTTCTGAAATAGCCCAGCTACAGTATTTCTCTAGGCCTGGGGAATGCAATCTGCAGCCTCTAAACTCCTGCTAAAATGACAGAGAAGGATAAATATTAAATACCTGGGGAGCAAATCCACTTATTTAATTTCATTTTCATGCAATTTAAAGGCAAATACGCTCCAAATTTAGCTTGAATGCCTGCCCCACCCAACTTGGACCACCTACTTGCAAATAGAGTGGTTGGCCCAAAACAGATGCGGCATTCCTGTTCTCCAAATTGTAGCCGCTACTTGGCCTTCAACACCAGGGCAAGACATTCTGGAAAGCTTTTAAAATGCTCCTACCCTTTTTTCATTAAAAAAAAAAAAATTGGCACCATCATGAATAATATATATGCCAATAAATGGAAACAACCTTTATTTTCTTACAGGCTGTTGCTGCTCTTAGCAAAAACGCTGTATCATCCCAGTCCTGGGGGAGAAACAATTCTTCCACCTCTGCAGCAGAAAGAATCAAAAACCCCTCATCTGATCTCCTTCCCATATAATACACCACCCAATACTATGCCAGGTAAATGGGAATGGCTATCACCATTGTATACTACATGGAGAAAGCTAGCATCTGTCTAGCCAGTGGGGCAGAATCTCTCCCCAGCATGGCAGCTTTGCTGAGAAAGCAAAGTATTTCAAGCTCAAATATGCACACTACAGGTAGTCCTCGCTTAACGACCACAATAGGGACCGGAAAATTTGTAGTTAAGCAGGGTGGTCATTAAGCAAAGCATCATGTGACCACACCTGATTTTACAACCCTTTTTTGGCAGCTGCCATTAAGCAAATCACATGGTGGTTAAGCGAATCAAGCGGCTCCCCATTGATTTTGCTTGCTGGAAGCCGGCTGGGAAGATCACAAATGGCAATCATGTGACCCTCGGATGCTGCATCTATCATAAGCGTGAGCTGGTTGCCAAACGCCTGGATCATGATCACATGACCGTGGGGGCTGCAATGGTCGTAACTGCGAGGACTGGTCGTAAGTAGCTTTTTTTCATTGCCATTTTAACTTCAGACGGTTGCTAAATGAATGGTCGTTAAGCGAGGACTACCTGTACACACACATACACAAGCTGAAGTGGTTGAGTCCTACTTTTTTTTTTTGTAGTGCAGGCCTCTTTAACTCCATTCTCCTTCTATAATACCTACCTCTCCCTGTTGCTGCTGACTCTTTTCCTTCTTCTGCTGAAATTTCTCCAGTTTTTCTTTCTTTTTGGCCTCCTTCTTCAGTTGTGATGCACTTTTGGGAGGGGGCTCTTGCGGCTGCCTCTTCTCCAGCAGCATAACTTCAGAGCAAGCCAGTGGTTGGCGGGGGGGGGGGGGGGGGAAAGAATACAAATGAGTGAACTCAGAGCTTTCTACTGCTCAATCCTTCTGAGGCAGGCTCCATAGCAAAAGCCCACTGTCCCTACCAACCTAGCTGTCTCCAGCATGGTACTATTCTTCACATTATCTGAAGACGGTGGGAGTTGGGTGCATGCATAATCAGACTCAGCACCAAAGCCTGACTGTTACTCTGTTCTTAGCCAATTAACAAGGATTTGAAAAGAGGCCAACAACAGGCAAGGCTTACCTTGAGAGTCCAGTTCTGGAATACCTTCTCCTGGGGCCTGTTCACACAACTTCACTGGGCCCAAGACATCACGGAATTCTGGTTGGTTGATGCACGTCAGGAACCAACGAGTAACATTGGTGAAAGATGTGCGAAGGGTTTGGTCGAGAACCTAAGCGAGGCATCCAAGAGAAGGAGGAAGCTAATTATTCATGCTATTTTATTTATTCCATTGGTCAGGTACCTTAATTGTCCAAGGGACTCTAGGCAACATACAACATTAAAAACAATGCCCCGAATGAAAAACAATTATGACAACAAAGATCAATATGGAACCTTGACCAGGTTCCTCAGTTTTAAGGGCTTTTTTAAATAGCAACAAGGATGGAGCTACTCAGACTTTTTTCATGGGGGGGGCAATATCTTTTACAGGACAGGACGGGTGAGTAGAATAATGAGACCAAGAGTTTTGGGGGGAGGCCATTTTCAGATCCAAGGCAGCACACAGCCCTGAAACCATGGTATACTGCCTCCATCAATGTTACCAAATTTGGGCTGCGCGTTTCCTATTACTTTGAAGTAGGAAATGTGCGAAAATAGCAATATAAGCTCTAAATAGATTATACTCAGTTAACAAACACATACCCCAGAAAAACCTGGTGCAAAAACAGAAAACCCCACCTTGTTCACATACATGATTTGGCCTTCCCACTTAGGTTCACAGTTTGCCAACTATGCCCCCCAACCTTCAAAAGTTTGTCTGTTTCATTGAGACAGAAGACTACCATTATAAATAGGAGTGATCTGATGGAAATGGAATTTGGAAGACGTTAGTCCAGGAAATATTTTTATGGCTATAAATAAAATTACAGAGACTTACATTATTTCAGCTAATATTGTTATTTCTCCCATGCAAGCTCTCTTGCTTTCTGATGAGGAACTAATACAAGTCTAAAACTGTTTGAAATTAGCCCCCACGAAAAACATCCATGCAAGAGTCAAAAGCCAGGTTTGGGTACAATGATTTGCAAAATACAGGTAGTCCTCATTTAGCGACCACAATTGGGATGGGCAACTCAGTCATGAAGTGAAGCAGTTGCTAGGTGATATAGCATCTGTGCTTATGATCTTACTTCAGCTTTCCTTTGCTTTACAGATGTGTGGAGGTCATAAATGTGAGGACTGGTCACAAAGTTACTTTTCATCACTGTCGTAACTGTGAACAAGTCAGTCACTAAATGAGGACTACCTGTATGCCAACTAGAGCCAATACATGAAATCGTCTCCCTTGGTGGAATGTTTATCCCCAAATGAAGAAATGGATGATAAAATTTTGAGATGTGCAAAGTCTGCCAGAAAGATAGTGGGTGTGAGAAACAAGGGTTTGTCAAAAGAAGTTAAAAAAAGGCTGAGTATAAGAGTGTGAGTTTGCCCACTTTGTTGTATGGAAGTATGAGCTGAGTATGTTGGGAGAAACATAGAGGTCAGTTGAATGTGGCCTGAATATGAAGCGAGTTGGTGTTGAGGTGGTTTGGTCATACCAAGAAAATTCAATGAAGATCAAATCGAAAAGCAAACATAAGAAGAAAGAATGAAAGGATTGCGAAGAAGAGGAAGTCTAAGAAAATCGTGGCTGAATAAAGTAAGCGAGAACCTGAAAAAGAAAGGGCAATGTATAAAATGTGCTGGAATCAAGGGTTGGTTGCAAGAACTAAAAGGTATAGTGTTGGTGTAAACTAGATTTTGTTAAAAGAGGGAAAGTGGAAAGGTTACCCACTATTGTGTAAATCATGCATGGCCTTACTACAGATGTTGATTCCCCACCTTTTGAAAGAAAAGGTCAGTTTACAGAGGGGTACAAAATTTCCTGCCAAAATCAAAACAGAGCAAGAACAGAGAAGGAGCAGAACAAGGATGCAGGAAAACTCACGTATTTATACGGCAACAAGAGAGAACAAGCGACGGTCACATCAGCCAGTGTCACAGCTTCTTCCACCAGGTATGTCCGAAGCTTCAGGTGACTGTCCAGCACCCCAAGGAGATGCTGCAGTTCTGCTACAGCACGATCCAGCACCTGAGTAGGAGGTGAGAGTAAGGTATGCCCTGCAAGGAGCCCCTAAGCACCCCCCCAGAAGGATTAAAAGTACATTTTTCTCCCCAATTATGAATTACTTCTCCCAATAAACAGGACATCCTTGATTCCTTCACTCGTCCTACCATGCACACAACTTTGTTTTAAAGGGTAATGTAGCATGCCTTTTGTTGCCTTTCAGTTCTTACATTATACTTTTTTTAGATTATAGTGATTTAGGGTTTGTTTTTTTTTAAACCACATCTGTATTGAATGAGCAACCAGGTCAATGAGCAATTAGGAACAATCATGATTCTGGGGTGTAATTGTGGCGGAGGTTAATCCCTGACATAGACTACTTTGATACTGTTCCCAGCCCTTTGCTCTCAATAAATCTTGCTAAAGAGAACTTTGGGAGAACTTTGCTTAGAAAATAATTCCTTCAGGTTCTAGGCAACCACCAAAGGGCCTAACAATATTTCTGGCAACCTCGATTTTCATTTCTCTTTTTCCTCTGGATCGATGTCTTGCTCTCTTTTCCTCTGCGAACCCAGGACTTCCTAACTCACAACAATCCACCCTAACCTGGTGACCTCTGGATGCGCCAGGATTAAAACTCTTAGCATTCCCTGTCTGCTGGACTAATGGCTATACAGGATGAAAATTTAGATGTTTATATTCTATCTCAATCATATGGGAGTTGACATCTGGAAAGTAAATTTTCTGTACCCTATAGACAGCCAAAGAACTATTGTTCAGCAATGGAAAGACAAACATAGGGCTCCAACCATTCAGGGGTCTGCAGAATTTATTAATGTACATCAATCATGAACGACTATAATGAATCATGACTTCAGTTTATTGATATATGTATGCCTGTACAGGTAGTCCTCACTTAATGACCATTCGTTTAGTGACCAGTTACAACAGTGCTGAACAAAGGGACTTACAACCAGTCCTCACACTTACAACTGTTGCAGCACCCCCGTGATCACGTGATCGCAATCCAGGTGCTTGGCAACCAGCTCACACTCATGATGGCTGCAGTGTCCTGGGTCATGTGATTGCCATTTGCGACCTTCTGGCAAGCAAAATCAATGGAGAACGGCTTGATTCACTTAACGACCAAGTGATTCGCTTAACGGCCACAGTGATTTGCATAATGACTGCTGCAAAAAAGGTTGTAAAATCGGGTATGACTTACTTAACAACCACCCTGCTTAATAACAAGTTTTCCAATCCCTATTGTGGTTGTTAAGCAAGGACTACCTGTAAATATACACTTTGTATGTTTTTGTGTCTTTTTTTCAGATTTCCCCCATTATTTTATAATTGTGTGTATTTTCCTTCTTTTTTCGTGTTTAGTTAAATAAAAGAAAATTAGAAAAGGGATGGAAATTTCAGGACATCCAAGGGCACCAGGTTGAAAAAAACTGGCTCACTCTATCCACCCCATTGTAGAAGTTGTAGGAGAGCCATGTTAGTCTGTGGGAGCCAAAAATCAGAAGGCGTCTGGGAGCACCTTTTCCAAGTAATACATTTTATTAAAAAGCCTAAGCTTTCATGCTACCAGACACCTTCTGATTTTTGCCTCTCAGCCCAGTGCAGCCAACACATCTTAGCACTCTCACCTGTTTAGTTTGCTTGGAAACCCCCAGGGCTGGGAAAGCCACAGCACAGGCCACAGGAACTATTTCCATGTCAGCATAGCTGATCCACTGTTGCACCAGGGCATCGGCTTCAGGGCTGTGCCCTCTCATGGCATCTGGAGATAGCAGGTAAGACACAGCTGCAGGACCAGATACATAAATGCCCGCTTGGGTTTCCAGAGCTGGGAGCTTGGGCAGGGAGAAGGAAGGGTTCTTGAATTCAGCATCAGGAGGCAGCCCAACCACCTTGAGCTCCTGTTGGCCATAACGGGCTGCCACCAGCACACGGAGGTTCTGGAAATTATCAGGGTGGGGGGAAATGTAGAGGGTAGGCATGATGAGAAGACCAAGGGACCTGGAAACCAAGAAGAAGAAGGAAGTTGAAGACAAACAGGCTGTTTACATGCTGCATCTCTGCACTGTGAACTTGTGGCCCTCCAGGTGTCACTCAGCTACTCCTCCCAACTACTCCTTAGTCAGCACAGTGAAAGGCAGGAGATGCTGGGAGAGGAAGTTCTGCAATCTCTAAAGCAGTGTTTCTGAACCTTGGCAACTTTAAGTTATGTGGACTTCAACTCCCAGAATTCCCCACCCAGCCATGCGGGCTGGGGAATTCTGGAAGTTGAAGTCCACCTCTCTTAAAGTAGTCAAGGTTGAGAAACCCTGCTCTAAAGAGTCCCAAGGTTTCCCTCTCTGCTTTACCTGGCAGATGCTTCTAATCAAAGGACATGAAAGTGAAAGAGACCATTTAAGCTCAAAGGTGCTCATTCAGACACACAACAGGTTCTACCAATAATACTAAACTATGGCTCAGAACTCGGTCTGAATGCAGCCAGATTCCTTTGAGGCAAAAGGGCCCAACTTACCCTGTAAAAGTTACCCTGAAATACAGGTAGTCCCCAGTTTAAGAATGAGTTCTATTCCCAAGGTCTGTCCTTAAGTCGAATTTGTATGTAAGCTGGAACAGCGTTATTGTATAATACTGAATAAGTAGTATTGTGTGAACTCAAATCACTGTGTACTTAATTTGAATTTTGCTACAATAGGCTCCGTCCTTAACTATGGGTCATCTGTAAACCAGGCGTTCTTAACCCGGGGACTACCTGTGTTTAAAAAGTCAGAATGAGAAACTTATTAAATAGAAGGATAAAAACCATATTAACTACACTTAATTAATTCCATTTAAATGATATTTAAGTTTAAACTCAGGTAAATTAAATGTAGCATTTATTTTTGTCCAGCTCACTTTTGGAAGTACAGCTCCACGTGTGATTCAAAGATCAAACGCAGTCCTTGGCCCCCAAAAACATTATGGGTGGGCTCATGTTCAGCTGTCTATTGAAGTAAAACAGTATTGCAAGTCTATGATATATTATTATTATATCATTTTCCCTTCCCACAACACTTGCCTCCTGATCTACTCCTATCTTATATTATTCATTTATAGCATGGCAACAGCCCAGCCCCTTTAAAAAAGAAGAATAAATTTGCTTTCACTTTGCAATAGTTTCCCTGCACAAAAGTCTGGGAAGTTTTTTACTCAAGGCAGAAAACAGAATGAATGGTTTTTACAAGATACAAAATCAAATGTCACCCTCAGATTAACCTGTGAGCAATAGGAGTCTAAACATAAGATCCACTTGCTACAGAATGCAGCAATGACAGCTAAAGAACCTCCTAATTTCAGGATGAGCTTGACTCATTTCAAGCCTCAATAGTTCTGCGATCTTCATTTATGATGCAATACACTACAAGCCTTCAATGTTTCATCAGTTTCTTTTTGATGAGTACAACTGTAAATGGCCTAGACAGGCCAAACGTTTCTGACTTATTTCCTTCCATACAGACACACATGCTCAAATCCACATACAATTTGTCTGGCATCAATTAATGTAAATCCCCCTCACAACTCCTTGTCATTTATTTATTGGATTCATATCCCACCTTTTGTATAGAAGCTCAAGGCTGCATACATAACACGCTCTCTCTCTCTCTGGCTTTTTTTGTTTTGTTTTGCAATAACAACCCCATGGGCCAGGTTGGGCTGAGAAAGAGGGATGGCTCAGAGAGCAGCCTGCAAATGGGTCCTGGATTGCGTGATCTTACAAACATTGCTATTTTTTTAAAGTACCACAATACCTACTATAATTCCATCAAAGATTTAGAACAGTGACATCTCGAAAGTCTAAATAGTTACCACCAACATATGGAAATGCCTTACTTTCTCTCCCATAGAGAACGCCGTTGGTGTAAATCAGCGTTTTTCAAACTTGGCAACTTTAAGATGTGTGGACTTCAGCTCACTGAAGCTGAGTTGAAGCCCACACACTGAGCTGAAGTCCACACATCTTAAAAGCTGCCAAGTTTGAAAAACACTGGTGTAAGGAGACCTGGTGTAAATAAAAGGACGTTAATTCACCTTCCTGTAAAGAAACAACCCAAATCCAGCTGATTTGGATACCCAAAATAGGAGTTCTGTCAGGGAGACCAGAGAACCTGTGAAGCAATCTATCAGAAGCCTGTAAACCTGGATGTTTTGGGGTACAGCTAAGGGTGGGGAATGGGGTGCCCCGAATCTAAGATGGGGGGGTCTTCCAAAAGTAGTACAGTTAACCAGGAGCAGACAAGAACCAAATCTGATCACCTGATCATCCGGGGCAATGGTCTCCAAACTTTTTAATCACACACCTTTACCACTACAAAAACCTCAGCACCCCAATAGTTGTAGGTTCACTTAAGCACACCCGCGTTCCTGAACTGTTACGCCTATTACAAAGCACGCCCCCCCCCCACGATATACCTTTTGAATACTTTATAGATCACGTACTGGCATAGCTTAAATCCTTAAGCTGAACCCTGAAGAGAAAGAGACTCTTCTCCAGCCCCGCAACAGATCACCTTGGTGCACCCCACGTTGGAGACCGCCGCTTTTAGCGGACAGGGAAAGCCAGACGCGAGAAGCACAAGGGCTTTCTGGGAAAGGAGGGGACTGAGGGGGTTTGGAGGCTGAGCCGCGTCTCCGGTGCCCCGGGAAAGCGGGAGGAGAGGCTCCCCGTCCTACCTGACACTCCAGCCGGCTGCAGCAGCAGCTGCTTCTCCCCACGTGCTACGTTCCCATTCCCGAAGGACCCCTCCGAGAGGCGTCCGAGGCGGAGCCTGCTCCGAACTGGCAAATCCGCGGGAGAGGGGCTCGGTTCCTCTCTTCTCACCGGGGCAACGTGTTGAAAGCGTGTGACTCGGTGGCTGGCCCCGCCTGTCCTTTTTTTAACCCAGTGTTTCTCAACCTTGGCCGCTTTAAGAGGGGTGGACTTCAACTCCCAGAATTCCCCA